GGAAAAAGTTACGCAAATAACCATGTTTCAGATGACTCCCCAAAGGAGGAGCCATCTCACTTGGCGCCTCCACCCCTAGTTTTGCCCTAGGCGCCATCTCACTTGGCGCCTCCTCTCACTTTTAGCTAAGTGAGATGGCGCATGCACTTTAAAAGTGAGAGGAGGCGCCATCTCACTTGGCTCCTAGGGCAAAACTAGGGCAAAATTCTGTTTTATAAATAATTTGTCCGTTTCTCCGTCGTTTCTCACACTTTCTCGCATTGTTTTGTTATTTTTTACTCTGTTATTTGCGTCATGACATCGCCCATGATTTTTAGCAGAGATGGTTACGTTATCTTCTCCGCCATGAAACCTGCGATGAAAATGAAATTCTGGCACATTCACTCCATGAAGCGTCTGAAACGGGAGTTGATGCGATGGCTAGATGGAGACATTGCGGAGGGGGGGAAATTCGAAGGATCCAGCGAAAACGAACAACAACCTCACATGCGACAGGAAGACCTAATGTATGGTTGGAGGAAGTCAAAACAAACAGCGATGTAATGTTGATGATGCATGGGTCAGATGAAATTGTGTTAACAGTTGTAATTTCGTAGACAGAATATCGTGTATTTTTCTTGTACGCGCAATATTTATTGTAGCAAAATCTATTAACGGAAAACCCTAATGTTTACAACATAATTAAGGAAAGATTTTATGTATTACAATTTTTATGGGTCGAGGCAGACGCCCGATTCGGACAATTTTTGCGATTGTGTCCGACCTGACGGCATAAACCACACTTTCTTTTCTGCTTGTCAAGATCGTCCATTTCTGTTGTGATGCGCTTACTTTTGGGACGACCCTTCTTGTTTCTTCGCATTTGGTCATTGTGCCACACTATTTTGCCGTCGTATGCAAGCCAATAATCTGGTTTTGCTACCAAAGGAAAGCTGTTGCTGTAAACATTGAGCAACATTTCAGATTTGTAAATGTGTGACAGAAGTTGCAGCGCGTCTTGATGGGTATAAGCACAAGCGGAAATGATATGAGAGCAAGGCATACGAAATGCTTGAAACCTGCCACAATCGCACCAACGAGAAGGTAGCATGACCCTATATTCTTGTCTTGGCAGGCCTTCGTTGTGGTCGATTGTCTCTTTCACAATGAAGTTGTGGCTGTTTCGGTCAAACCGTATAACCATATGAGTGTTGGCTTTGTCACTTTCTGCCTTAATGTATTTCATGCAGCTTTCACTCCATAGTTGTCCAGATTGCAACACCGCATTCCACATTTCACCTCTTTTGGAAAACAACGCAGCCATCCTAAAATACGTAGATTTTAACAAAGCAGTGATCGGGAGGTTTCGTATGCCTTTGAATACCCCATTCATCGATTCAATAAGATTCATTTTCATGTGCCCCCATCTCTGGCCATTGTCGTATGACCTAGTCCATTTTTCCACCGGAATATTGTCGATCCACCTACCGGCTTCCAGATTTGACAAACGGATCTCGTTGCGGTAATATTTGAATGTGGGTTGTGTCAATGCATATCCCGCATTCATAACCACTTTCCTTAGTGTTTTGTCCTTGATCTCCCTCGTGAAATTCTGGACGATATGCCTAACGCAATAGACATTCGTAGAAGGAGGGTCATGCCAATCGTTTGCAGGATTATTGTAGGCACTTTCAATGGAGGCATGTCTGTCTGAGATCAAACAGAGATCTGGTTGAGGAGCCACGTGTGTCTGCAGGTTTTTCATAAAAAAGCTCCAAGCACCACCGGTCTCCCCCTCGACTAGGGAAAAGGCAATGGGGAAAATGTTGTTGTTGCCATCTTGTGCAACTGCCATCAGAAGCGTGCCTTTGTACTTCCCATACAACCAAGTCCCATCAATTTGTATAGTTGGTTTGCATGATGCAAACCCGGTAATGCAAGGTTGAAATGCCCAAAACACTCGACTGAATATTCCATTGTCGTTTAGTTGACTACCATCTTGGGCGTATGCTGGCACTATTTCCAGAATGTAAACAGTACCCGGAGAATACGTCTTTAGTGCATTCAGGTAGCGAGGAAGTTCTTGGTATGACTCCTCCCAATTTCCGTATACCTTTTCAATCGCCTTAGTTCTTGCTAACCACGCCTTACGGTAAGACGAAGTATAGTTAAAAACCATGATGATGTGGGAGATGATTGTTTTCACCTTCAAAGATGGGTCGTTGCTGACCAGTGGTAGGATTTCTTGACAGATGAGATCGTAATTAAGTTTTCGGTGGTCCTGTGATTGGGTAGAACTTACACAAGTGTGGGTAGTCATGGAACCTATGACCCAACAATCACCTCTTAATCTGTATGATGCAGTCATCTTGAACATATAGTCAGGGTGGACACACTTGATCTTGTACCTTTTTGGGTTAACACGGTCCACCTTAAAATCAATCGAGTTGAGCATGTGGAATTTTTTTATGGCTCTGATGCATTCCTCTCTGTTACGAAACTTGTCCTTCTCTTTTAAGTTTTCATTCGACTGCATATACGGATTGAAAAATAAATCAGTAGAAGGTTCATCTCCGCCCATGTTGAAGTTTGTCATGTGCGGAGGTGGTGTGTAGATTTCGTTTGCAGGAATACTAGGTATGCCATCATCGTCGGAATCATAATTCACCATTTCATCAAACTCTAACTCGTCATCTTCTTCTTCATCAACTGCATCTACCTCAGCTTGTTCATTCTCCAAAGGATCAACCACTTGTGTCACCTGAGGCTCTCACAGCATAATGTACAACTCAATAGAGTCGTACCCAGAATACACATGGCTGGAAAACATATTCTGGAGATCCTCGTCATCTTGAACTTCAACCTTATAAAAAATTATTTGGTTGTTTCCAAAAAAAACTGGATTCTGATAAAATATCTGTGTCACCGGGCCTCGTCCAAGTTTGGCCTCTAATCGTTTTTTGAAGTACGAGAAATTGGCTTTCCCGTTTAAAAGAAATCGGATGTTGTTTGTGTCTCTAAAAAAAACCCAGAGGTGGGACAAATGTATGTCTCACCGTTGAAATGTGCTTTGATGACATATTATGGTGCAGAAGCCATTGCGTAGGGTTGTTTGAAGGTTTGAAGGTTGGAATGTTTGAAGTTTATGAGTTATTCGAAGGTTTTTATGTTTGAAGTTTATTGATTGTATGAAGGTTTGAAGGTGGTAAGGTTTGAAGGTTGGAATGTTTGAAGTTTATGAGTTATTCTAAGGTTTGTATGTTTGATTGTTTGAAGGTTTGAAGGTTTGATTGTATGAACGTTTGTAGGTTGGAAGGTTTGACAGATTAAGTGAATCAATGTTATGATAAACGTAAGACTAAAAATCTCATACTGAATTTCAATTAAGTAAGGATGTAACCCCCAAGGCTGCCAATAGTGTTACATGAATGGCATCCCAAAGGCTGTCACGTAGCCTGAGCCTACTCTGCAACCAATGACACCTCTTATTCGCCAATTGGGATGGCGACACCTTTCATTTTTATACTATTTCACCAAGTCCAATGGCGCCTCCCTTAATGTCCTATCGTGTTACATGCATGCAGATATGTAACCCCTAGGCTGCCACCTAGCCTGCGCCTACTCTGCACCTACACTATAACTTGTAAGTCTCCTCCCATCACCTCCAATAGTGTTACATGCATTCAGGCATGGCATCCTAAAGGCTGTCACGTAGCCTGAGCCTACTCTGCAACCAATGACACCTCTTATTCGCCAATTGGGATGGCGACACCTTTCATTTTTATACTATTTCGCCAAGTCCAATGGCGCCTCCCTTAATGTCCAATCGTGTTACATGCATGCAGATATGTAACCCCTAGGCTGCCACCTAGCCTGCGCCTACTCTGCACCTACACTATAACTTGTAAGTCTCCTCCCATCACCTCCAATAGTGTTACATGCATTCAGGCATGGCATCCCAAAGGCTGTCACGTAGCCTGAGCCTACTCTGCAACCAATGACACCTCTTATTTGCCAATTGGGATGGCGACACCTTTCATTTTTGTACTATTTCTCCAAGTCCAATGGCGCCTCCCTTGATGTCCAATCATGTTACATGCATGCAGATATGTAACCCCCTAGGTTGCCACCTAGCCTGCGCCTACTCTGCACCTACACTGTAACTTGTAAGTCTCCTCCCATCACCTCCAATAGTGTTACATGCATTCAGGCATGGCATCTCAAAGGCTGTCACGTAGCCTGTGCCTACTCTGCAACCAATGACACCTCTTATTCGCCAATTGGGATGGCGACACCTTTCATTTTTGTACTCTTTCGCCAAGTCCAATGGCGCCTCCCTTAATGTCCAATCGTGTTACATGCATGCAGATATGTAACCCCCTAGACTGCCACCTAGCCTCACTACTAAAAAAAAGACATTTGAGAAAAGGTTTTTACATCGGGTATCAAAATATATGATGTAAAAAATACAACTAACAAACTTTTTACATCAGGTATTTATTTGCAATGATATAAAAAATATGAAAAAAAATATATTTCGCTACCTATTACATCGGGCAAACGCATCCACCGATGTAAAAAGTTTTCAGGAAAAAATACGGTGGCATTTTTGTAAATAAGAAACAAGGTAGTAGAAATATTAAAAAAAAACATGCAATATATTACATCGGTTGACTAAAAACCGATGTAATATCTTCACAACAGATATTAATATAAAAAATATATTAAAGAATAAAATAATTTTTCGCAACTTATTACATCGGTTGAAGTATAAACCGATGTAAAAAAGCCAGAAAATCAGCTTGCATCGGTTATTACAATGGACCGATGTAAAAAAGCCAAAACCCTTACATCGGTTGTAAGGTTCCACCGATGTAATAGGTTGTCCACTAAACCAACCCTTACATCGGTTATCCTATTCCACCGAGGTAATAGCTTGTTAAACCCTTATTTCACAAATTTCAGTATTTCCACTGTATAATATTCTCCTTGGCCGCCGTTTCCACTCTACGCTCACGCTCATGACCCAACCACCGCCGTTTCACTCCTTGCCACTGTACGCTCACGCTCACGATCTAACCACCGCTGTTTCCCAGCCACCATCATCGACCGCCGTTTCCGAAGGTTTTCGACCGCCGTTTCCGTTCGTTTTTCCGCCGTTTCAAACCAAACCTCAGTCGCCGCTCACAATCACCATCGCGCCAAACCTCAGCCGCCGGTCCCTCTCGCGCGACCTCCCTTCCTCTCTTCTCACACCGCCTTCACAAAACTTGTCAGATTGTTATCTTCTGTAACTACAATTATCCCTCGAGCAGCACCACCTGTTACTCATCTGCAGGTATTCAGTACTTCATTTCTATAATGCTTCCGGACTGTGCTCATTCATCGGTTCAATTTTTTCTGTGGACAACAGGATGCTAATCAAGGTGTGACTGATACCGTTCCGACTCCGATAGTTATAATTGACCAAGACTCTGATCCAAATGCAACTGTGGTGAAGATAACTTTTGGTCATCGGCTTGGAGCTCTCCTTGACACGGTGTGATGTTTTCTTATTATATTTCTCTGCCTGCTTATCTGCTAGTGTACATTATGAACAAAAAACTTTACTCTCAACATTGGTTTGCAGATGAGTGCATTAAAAAGCTTAGGTCTCAATGTTGTTAAGGCAAATGTCTTTTTGGATTCTTCTGGAAAACACAACAAGTTTTTCATCACAAAAGCGTAAGTCTTACGTGTTTTTCGCACTATGTATGCTATTGTTACGAGTATATGTTAGTTGTTCAATCCACTTATTGATTTTGGTTTATTAATTGACTGTTAATAATGATTATTTTGCTTTTTATGATTAACAATTGTGAATGGAGACATGAGATTGAGAACATAATTAAGGATGTAACACTTAATTATAAATAAAACATATGATATCAAATCATTAGTAAAATTGGAACAAGAAAGCAACGGTAATTAATTGATGATTAAACTATAACACGAGAATGGTTAGGTTTAATGTGTTGGAATGTTCATGTCATGATAGGTCATCTCGTTTAGCATTGTTCAAACTTCAAACCGAGTGACTCTTTAGTTTAGGCCATCATTTGGTTCCGACAGAAACTCCCATAAACATTTTCTTTCTTTAATTCACTCCACCACTGGCCCACACTTGCCTTTCCTTGTGCTTTTGCTCCTAATAGCCCATCCTTACAATATAAAACTAAAGCAATCAATTCATGAAAAATTAGTTACTTTCTATGCTAATTTTCCTCTGTTTGGATAAACATCTTAGTAAAGCACATATAGCATAAGCACTGATCATATAATATAAGTGCCTGTGCATAAGCTATTTTGATACCAACAAATAAAATAAAGTCAGTGTTTTTATATAAGCTATACATTGTTTTTAGAAGTTTTCAAAACATAAAATATCTCATAAGCTGTTTCCATAAACCCTCCTAAACAGTCTCTCAAGTGCTTATGCTTGTAGGCAAGTCAAGTAAGTAAATCCAAACAGGCATTTTCTTTATGAACAAAATTCATGTTAAAACACACATAAGTATATGCAGTCAGACTTCAGATTAGCCTGCCTAAACAGTATTAGAAATTCACTCTAGAACAGTAAAACTTGTTGGGAACTTGGGTTTAGTTTTTTTTTCCGTTTTAAGCAACAAATATCTTGGATGAGGTTTTAACTAGCTTCTTTAGTAATTCTTTGGATATGCTGGTGGAGCTTTTTGCAGTGATACTGGCAGAAAAGTCGAAGATCCAGAGTTGTTAGAAGCAATTTGTTTGACAATTATAAATAATCTGATTCAGTATCACCCGGTATGCTTTGCCAAATATCCTCCTTTCTCACTGGAGGGTGATTTGTTTATATGCCAACAAGCAATTCTCACTTCTCTGCTAATTAGCATTTTCAAAATGGTTGTCCAGGAATCAAGTTCTCAGTTAGCAATGGGAGTGGCTTTTGGACTTCTACCTCCGAAAGAGCAGGTGATGAATGTCTATACTTTTCAGTTTCAGTTGTAACACATGAATTTTTCATTTTTTTCCGGTAACACTGGCCGGCTGTGTGAAGCTAAAAGATGAGGGCTCGTTAACTACATGTGTTTCCTGTTTCTATTTCCACTGATAAAATAAACATTAGAGAACACATTGTGGATGCTTTTTAAAATGAATTTTAAAAATATATTGGATTTTATTTTATTTTATTTTATATAAACAATATAAATTTTCTGAGGTTCTTAATTTAATGGTTACAATGATTTTTATTTTATGCAGTGTATTTGCATTGTTTAGTCTACACTTGTTTATGTACGGTTGCAATTTATATATGTGGAAAGCGACAAGAATAAATCATAATTTCATATTTGAATTCTCGCCGACCACGGCGCTAAAGCATAGAGATGCTTTTCTGATTTGTACTGCCTTCATGACTGCTGTGGTTGGAGCGATGGTCTTGCACCTTCTTCTAAGGGTTGCGGGGTTTTTTCCTGGCAATGTTGACGCCATTCCCGGAATTCTACTTCTGGTTAGTTTTTTGATGAAATTTGAGCTTTGTTGTTTGATGTTACATATTATAATATCAAACTTTTATCATTGAGCTAACACTTTATGAACTACCTGTATTTTTTTCAGTTTTTCATAGCTATGCTCATTTGCCCATTAGACATTTTCTATCGTCCAACTCGATTCTGCTTCATCCGCGTTATTCGTAACATTATCTGTTCTCCTTTTTATAAGGTATATTTTCTTTATACTATCTTTTTTCGAACAATTAGATAAATTGATAACGATATAACATACTTCATGTGTACAAAATGAAAGTTCTAATTGTTTGATTCGATTTACTATTCCTACAGGTTCTTCTGGTGGATTTTTTTATGGCTGATCAACTAACTAGTCAGGTAAAATCTTTTATCCTTCAACGAATTTATCCTATTATTTTCCTTTGTTTATCGTTACACTTCTTAATAACATTTTTTGTATATCATCGTATATAGATACCATTGCTAAGACATTTGGAAACAACGAGTTGTCACATTTTATCCCGGGTTTTCAAAACGCACCACCCTGAAACCTGTAGTTCCGGAAGATTATACATGGAAATAACCTACATTATCTCATTTTTGCCATATTTTTGGCGTGCCCTTCAGGTATATTAATACGCCCTTAATGTTTAGTACTAATATATATTTCTAAACTTTCTATTAACATTACTAAATTAAATTTTACTATTTGAATGTGAATACTAGTGTGTAAGAAGATGGTATGATGACAGTGATGTTGCGCATTTGGCGAACATGGGGAAGTATATCTCTGCAATGGTTGCAACAGGAGCTAGAGTAACATATGGAAGACAAGATAACAATATAATGTTTTTTATTGTTATAATCACATCTGTGACAACTACAATGTATCAACTGTATTGGGATTTTGTCAAAGATTAGGGATTTCTTAATCCTAACTCAAGAAATGCATGGCTAAGAGATGATTTAGTTTTGAAGAATAAAAGCATATACTACATGTCTATGGTAATTTCCATTTACCTCTTTTTAGTTTCAATGTTTAAATTATTTTTAGAATATACTTGTTTCTTTTAATTAAAACATTATGAGATATCAAAATGCAGGCATTAAATGTTGTGTTAAGAGTGACTTGGACAGAAACTGTTATGCATTTCAAAGTTGGGCCTATTCAAACAAGGTTGTTGGGTTTTATGTTAGCTTCATTGGATTTTATGTCTACCGAAGATTTTATATTGGTAATTTAAGTTTGGAAACTTATAAATAGTTGAATATTTTTGTATATTTTGTGAATAATATGTAATTGTAAGTTTTGAAAAAAGACTTATAAATAGTTGAATATTGTTGTATATTTTGTGAAGAATTTGTAATTGTAAGTTTGTTTGTTGTAATACAATACAAGTTTGCAATACAATTGTTCAATTTGTAAGTTTGTTGTGAAAAATATGAAAACATCGACCTAGATGTGATATATGTGATGTTGGAAAGCTATGAAATCTATATAGCGACATAAATATAGTCTGTGTGATATTGGAAAAATATGAAAAAATGGGTACAAATTATATTTGTACAGGGAAACATCCAGAAAATAAATAATCTATTCCAAAAAAATTTCATACATTTTACATCGGTTATTAGTAAAAACTGATGTAAAAACTTTCAAAAAGGGACTTTTTACATCGGTTAGGGATGATAACCGATGTAAAAAGTTGCGTCACTGGGGACTTTTTACATCGGGTATTACTTCCAACCGATGTAAAAAACTGGATCAATTTTTTTTAAAAATGTGCATAATAACTGTTTCTTACATCGGTTCATATATTATAACCGATGTAAAAAAGGTACTTTTTACATCGGGTATTACTTACAACCGATGTAAAAAACTGGATCAATTTTTTAAAAAATGTGCATAATAACAGTTTATTACATCGGTTCTTATATTATAACCGATGTAAAAAAGAGACTTTTTACATCGGTCCTAGAACCGATGTAAAAAGTCCCTGATTTACTATATCGCCTGACTTTACATCGGACCCAGAACCGATGTAAAAAGTCAGTTTCACCCGATGTAAAAAGTCATTTCTGCACTAGTGCCTGCAAGAGTGACACTTCTCATGCATGCATGCACCAGCTACCACCTCACTCACTCTATGGAATTTTTTTGCCTATAAATACAGACCATATCATACTTCTCTCACACCCACACTCGTCTCACTCTCTACTACGAAGTCTTTCATAATCTCTTACACTTTCTAAGTCTTTCATAAACTCTTACATTTTCTAAGTCTTTCATAATCTCTTACACTTTCTAAGTCTTTCATAATATCAAGCATTTTAAACAATGGCTCTTCTAACAATGGGCGATTCTCACAGAGGCACAAGGGAAAACATTGCCGCATTTGTAAGTTTCTAATTTGGTTATACATTATTTATACTTAAGGTAATGCTATGTTCATATTACTTAATCTTACATCTTTTACATTATTAACTCAGGATACCAAAAGATTCAGAATCCGGTCTCACAATTATCTGGCTTCCGACCCGTTTATCGTACCATATCTGGAATACGCAAGTTTCAGACATGTTATAAAGATCTCCAACTGCACAATTGATTCGAAGTTCATTCTTGCAATGTTGGAAAGTGGAGACCAGAGACCCATACATTTCACCTACCAATAGCTGAATGTACCGTCACGCTAGAGGATGTGTACATGTTACTAGGTCTCTCTGTCGACGGTAAGGCTGTGAATGGGTCGGTTCAACAACCCAATTCTCAGTGTGAAGAATTGTTGGGCAGGGATATGGTTGAAGGTGGTGGTGCGAGAGGTCAGGGAATACTACTCACTGAGCTTAAAAGTCATTATGCAAGTTTGGAATTAAACGAAAATTCCTCCGAGCAAGACAGGGTAGTAAAAGCCAGAACTTATTTTATGATACTATTTGGTACCTTCTTATTTCCCGAAAGTACGGGAAATAGTTTAAATTTTATGTATTTACATTTACTTAGAGATTTTGAAAAAATAAGAAAGTATAGTTGGGGTTCTGCAGTTTTAGCCCACCTATACAGTTCCTTGTGCAAAAATGCAGTCAAGGAAAAATGTACCATTTATGGGTGCGCTTTTTTACTACAAGCCCGGGGTTGGTGGAGGATGGAGTCCTTAAACCCCGTCAACAACAACACTTTCGTTTTCCCGTACGCAACAAAGTAAGTCATCAAGTTATATCATTTATTACTATTCATCTCTTCACCAAATATATGCTAAAAATAAAATGTTTTTCATTTCCTTTAGGTATTGCGTGAGGGGTATGGATTACGGCAAGAATCCAAGATTCAATGTCGCACTATACTGAAATCTGTTGGATCACTTAGGCCCAGATGATGTACGTCGTACCTTTAAAATTTTCTTAATTTAAATTATTTATATATTACGTTTTTGTTAACCTGATTTAAATTTTTTCGCAGTTCGTCTGAAGACCATATTTGGGTTTGGGCCATGAACCAAACCCTAAGGATGCAACAATTTGGACCGCGAAGACTGCAATCATTCGGTTCAACGTTGTGGAGATGCACCACAACGACCATATGAAGATGCAGTTTGGAATGCATCAAGAGATACCAAGTGATCCAACTTGTTTGTCCCCACAGCATCTCAAAAGGGTCGACGCCCAGTGGGGTCTTACCAACTGGAAAGACTTTGCTCCGGAATGGTGTAAGATGTGGCAGAGGCGTCACCGATATGTCTTGCAATTCCCGGTTTTCCTTAATCATGGTAATATGCGACACACGAATTAATATTTATCTTGGTACAAGTCGGTTAGTAACCCTGAAATGCACGTGTCTCATCCAAGGTACTTGGTTGACCCACGCACACAATGGGCACAACCCTTGTTTCCCCAACAACAAACCCAAAACACATCAACCTCCCACCAACCCCCCAGAAGAAATAGAACCACAAACGCCCAACCACAATCCCCACCACAACACAATTACACTCAAATGCCCCATAACCAACCACAATCACCACCTCAGTACCAATACCCCCATATGCCTCACACCCAACCACAATACCAATCTTAATACCAACACACCCACATACCCCACACACAATTTCAGTCTTCTGTATATCCCAATATGGGCCCCTCAACATCCAGCCTTAGCCCTGATCTGGGAATGTCGGAAGATTACGAACAAACCGACCCAGCCTACCGTCAACCACAGTATCACCAAACCACCCAACATCCTCAATACCAAACACCACAAGATCCATTTCCTTTCTACCCACCGTACTCAGACGATCAATGCTACAAACCCACCATGGAACCCCACCCACCTCCCACACGACCAAACTTTGAGGGTATGGGTAACCGACTGTACCAAAGCGGATCTTCTAGATATGGAGATCTGACTGATTTTATGGATCCAGAATGCATTGACTTTGCTGGGCCATCGACCCTGCCACAGCAGGAAACGCGACGAAACCCAGCACGGGAAAGGCGAGGACAGGGATGCGGAACCGGGGGTCATTACCGGGTTCCGGGGGATCACTGATTTATCTGTTTTTTTCTTCTGTTTTTTATCTGTTTTTTAATGTAATACATTTGGATGTAATTATTTTTTTTTAAATAAAAAGTCAATTTTGTTGATCCTGTATCCAATACGCAACGCACCGGACCGGAAAAAAATGCAAAATTTTCCCTAGAATTACACATAGGCACCATCTCACTTGGCTTAGGGCATGCCCTAAGCTCATAGGCGCCAAGTGAGATGGCGCCTCCCATTAAATAATGGGTGTAGGCGCCAAGTGATATGGCTCCTCCTTTGGGGAGTCATCTGAAACATGGTTATTTGCGTAATTTTTTCCGAAACGCGGTTATTTGTGAAATTTTTTTTAATACTTGGTTATTCAAAAAAAATTCAAGAATTGGTCGCTTTCGCAAGATAATGAGCAACTCAATTCATTGAGAAAATTGTAATAATGATTTAATAGACAATAAAATGCAATGAAATTCAGAGATACGGTAAAGTTGGAGTGTATATGAGTGATCTCTTGATTGACATAACATTGTAAGGACTTTTCATATAGATTAGAAAGTGGAAGAAAGTAGAGGCCCAAAAAGACTTAGAGAAGAGACTGAAAGTGTCACCGGTCATCTCCCAGTCAAATCCAGCTTAAAAAATGACAAAAATGTAACAAGTATTATATGAAATTAACATAAACGAAAGTGACGAACTAAAAGATAAGGATTGTTAAAGATTAACAAACCACGGTCAAAGGTTTGAGCTTCCATTTGGGTTTTTATAAATATTGCAGAGAAGAAATGTGGCAGATCGGGTTGTTAGGGTGGTGAGTGAGTGGTTGTGCAGTGAAGATGGCATAGTTGATATAACGATTTTAGGACAACTTCTCACTCTTTAAACCTCCAACCATATTAATTTTCAATCCTCTGTACATGCAGAGTGATAATTCAAATTTTATTGAAAATTGCAAAGTGACTTTTCATATTTTCCAATGCATTTTCAAAAGGAAATTTCTTCTACACGTGACAATTACTCAATATTTCGAATGCCCATTTAATTATAAAAAGTTAAACATTATAATAAAAATATTTTATAAATAATTATTAATTAAATAATTAAATAATATTGTTAATTATGGAAAACTTTCTTTTAATAGAAAAAATAAAAATAACATATAGTCAAATAGGTTGACACTTCGCAAACTAGCCATAAAACTCATCTTATTTATTCTATTGTATGGGTGTAAGGAATCCCTTGCCAATATAAGATATCAACGAGAATACTGATTATTATTTGGAAGTTGATTCTATAACTTATTCACCGGAAGAAATATAGATCTAGGATTTCCATTAATGATAGTTAAAAAAACTAAGAGTGATTTTTTAATTTTTTTTATCAAAACAAAATTAGCTCATATCATTCGATAAAGAACTTCGTCAAGCCAACAATTGGCCACTTTCAAAAGTTAATGAGCAGCCCAATTCATTGAGATAATTGTAATAATGATTTAATAGACTATAGAGTGCTGTAAAACTCAGAGTTACTGGTAAAGTTGGAGAGTATATGCATGATTTCTTGATTGACATAACATTGTAAGGACTTTTCGTATAGTTTTTTGCATTCCTCTGCATTTCTCAGTGCATCCACTGTAAATTTTTTTTACAAAAATCTAAGACCAAACAAACGATAGAAAAATTAATCATAATAGAAGAGTGGAATTACCAAACC